TAAAAAGGCAAGGCGTTTTCTGTACCTCAGCATTTATTTGCCACAGAAACTGTATGCCCCGCAGAAAATAAGGTGAAAAAAGAGTCTGTGATCTCCTGGTTTTCAGAAATTAATTAAAACAATATTCACTGTCCTTTCCAAAGCAAGGAAAACTGCTCAAGGCTGAGGTCTGTGAAGGAGTAGAGGTAAAAATAAAAATGATCTTAATCACAGACACACTTGACTCAAAATGCCATGCTGATGGAGCAATAGCATCAATTATACTCCACAACATCCTGGTGCATATATGTTAACCAATGGTATATCCTCTTTCTGTATTGACCCCTTCAACACTCTGTAATGCTCTTCTGTGTCCTTTGTTATAGACTGTATTTTAGAGTTTATTTTGTCTGATATGAGTATTTCCACCCCTCACTGTCTCATCATTTTCATTTTCATGAAATGTCCTTTTCACCCCTTTGCTGACAGTCTGTGTATCTAAAGACACATAGCTCTGCAGTGAGTCTCTTGTAAGCAGCATATAGATGAACTTGTGTTTTATTATTATTATTATTCAATCAATCAGGCAATCCATCTTTTGACCAGATAGTTCATTCCATTAACTTTTAAGGTGATTATTGATAGGATTGTACTAATTGCCATTTTTGTTACTTGTTTTCTGTTTTCTTTCCTCTACTTTTGTGTTGTTCTTTTATTCTCCTTTGCCTGGCCTCTTGATGAAGGTAAAAGAGGAGAAAGAAAAATCTGGCTTAAAACTCAACATTCAAAAACAGTTATGGCATCCAGTCCCATCAGTTCATGGCAAATAGATGGGGAGAAATGAAAATAGTGACAAAAATCACTTGGATTTTTCTTGGGCTCCAAAATCACTGTGGCGAATGACTGTAGCCATAAAATCAAAAGACACTTGCTCCTTGGAAGAAAAACTAACAAAACTAGACAGTGTATTAGAAAGCAGAGACATCACTTTGTCAGAAAAGGTCTATCCATATAGTCAAAGCTATGGTTTTTCCAGTAGTCAAGTACAGATGTGAGAGTTGGACCCAAAGAACCTTGAGCCCTGAAGAATTGATGCTTTCCAACTGTGGTGATGGGGAAGGCTCTTGAGAGTCCTTTGGACTGCAAGGAGTTCAAAGCAGTCAATCCTAAAGGAAATCAACCCTGAATATTCTTTTGAAGGACTGATGCTGAAGCTGAAGCTCCAATACTTTGGCCACTTGATGTGAAGAGCCAACTCATTGGAAAAGACTCTGATGCTGGGAAAGATTGAAGGCGGGAGGAGAAGGGGCTGACAGAGGAAGAGGCGGCTGGGTGACATCACTTGAGTTTGAGCAAACTCCAGGAGGTGGTGAAGGTCAAGGAAGCCTGGCATGCTTCAGTCCATGGTGTCACAGAGTCAGACGTGACTGAGCAACTGAACAACAGCAACTTGTAGTTTAATGATTTTCTTTAGTTGTTTGCTTGTGCTCATTTCTCTCTTGTTTTTGTGAATTGATTGTAGACTTTTGACTGGTGATTACTGTGGGGTCCATATATGTTAAATTCAAGCTGTATGTCCTCATTTTAATTTGATAACCATTTAGGTTCAAACACATTCTAAAGGATCTGCATTTTTTACTCTCCTCTTGCACATTTTGTGTTCTTGATGTCATGTTCTTCCTTTCCTATAAACTCTTACTTCTTGGTGGCATCTTTTTTTCTACTTAGAGAAGATCCTTTAACATTTCTTTTCTGATTATTTTATTATTGATGAATTCTTTTAGTTTTTGCTTGTCTGAGAAGCTTTTTAGGTCTCCTTCAATTGTGAATGATAATCTTGTAGGTTATCTTGCATTTAATTTTTTCCTTTTGGTACTTCAGAAAGATCATTTCATAGTCTTCTGCCTACATAGTTTCTGCAGGAAAATCAGCCAATAATCTGATGTGGTTTTCCTTGTCTGTGACATGTTGTTTTTTTCTTGCTGCCTTGAGAATTCTTTTATCTGTAACTTTTGTCATTTTGACTGTGATATATCTTGGTGTGGGCAGCTTTGGTTTTATGTTATTTGAGACTCTGTGCTTCTGCACCTGGATACCTTTTCCCTTCTTTGGGTTCTGGTTATTTGGGGTCATAATTTCATCAAATGTCTTTTCTGCCCCTTTCTCTCTCTCCTCCTTCTGGGACTCCTAGAATGTGGATATTAGTATACCTGATGTTGTCCCTGTGGTCCCTTAAACGGTTCTCTTTTTTTAAATTGGAGGATAATTGCTTTACAAGGGTGTGTTAGTTTCTGCTGTACAACAAAATGAATCAGCCACTTGTATACATAGGTCCCCTCCCTTTGGAGCCTCCCTCCCATTAAACCATTCTCTTCTTTAAAATTTGCTTTTCTTTTTGCTGTTTTTATTGCATGATTTTAATAATGGTATCTTTCAGATCACTTCTGAATTCTGTATCCCCTAGCCTGCTATTATTTCCTCCTAGTGTGATTTTCTCTCTAAGTTATCATAATCTTCAGTTCAGACTGGTTATTGTTTTTAATATTTTCTAGTTACTTCTTAACACTCTTCATTGTATTCATCTATTCTTTTCCCTTGTGAAGTTAGAATTCTTATTACTAATTCTTTGAAATATGGTAAATTATTTTGGTGAGTTACCTGTCTTATTAAGTATTTTTGCAGGGCTTTTTTTTTCTTATTCTTTAACTTGAACAAATTCCTCTGTCTCCTCAATTTGCTTAACTTCCTCCAACTGTATGAAGTTAGGTGAAAAAGTTACCTATACCAGTCTTTCAGGGGTGTCCTTGTGTGGACATGTCCCTGTGCAGTCTGCAGTCTGTGTGCCTGGAGGCTTTGCGACAGAGTTGGAGCAGAAGTGGGCCAAGGTCATGCCTTTCCCAGGGTGTACTGGCAGCTGGCAATTTGGTGGGAGGTTGAGAGGGAAGCTAGATCCAGGCCAAGTGTGAGCAGAGGCTTTTCTTGTGCTCTGTGGCTGTCCACATCCTACTGGACCAGGCGTGTCCCAAGGCGCTGAAGCAGAAGCCCTGACGATGGCGTTAACTTGGTTCCACCTTATAAGTGTACCCCCCCTTCCCCCACTCTGGCACCTTTGCCCCAGAGGGTGGCAGAGATGGAGCAAGGTGTGCTGAAGCAGCCCCTGGTGCGGGTGGCCGTGCTTGTGGTGCAGACCTGGCACACCATCAGAGCCCCAGATCCTGCTCCTTGGGCCCCTCTCTGATGGCCGCCCTGCCGCATCCAGATATCTTGCTGGTGTCAGCCGGCTCTGTATCTCCCACTGCCCACTCTGCCCAGCATGGGTAGCTCCTCGCCCCAGGGGGGTGAACTGGATCCAGAGGCGCTGAGGGGGCATCTGTGGGCCAGGGGGCACACAGGCTGCCCAGTAAACTGGCTGAGTCCTGGGAAGAGTCCTGCCGCCCCCTCAGCCTGTTCCAGGAGCAGGAGTGGGTGTGTGTCTCAGGAGAGGAGTCAGGCTCCTGGGCCTCCTGCGGGTCCCCCTGGGTTCCCAGCAGCTGCGGGGCTGTGACCTCCTGAGGTCGTCCCAGGGCTGCAGTGCCCAGTGCGTGGTGTTCATGGGTTTCTCCAGGGAGAACCTCCCAGCCCCTGTTCGTCAGCTCCTGGGGGAGCTGAGCTCAGCGTCCTCTTGCCCACCAGGAGCTCCTCCCCAGGACAGTGTGTGGCACTCACTGTTCACTAAGTGTGGCTCCTGTGATTGTTCAGGAAGAGTCAGTGCTGATTTATTTTCTTCCTTTTCTGGATCATGGTTTCCTTTCTTTATTTCTTTTTCCCTTTCTGTTTTTCTTCCTCCCTTCTTTCTTCCTTTCCTTCCTTTCTTCTATGCCGAGTGTGAATGGTCTTGTGTGTCTGTTTGTGTTCATATTGGCTACTTGAAATAGGAGGCAAATACTTGCTCTTGGCAGATTGATTCCTTGTCCTGACTGAACTTAGCTAGTTGGTTTCCCATGCTCCTAGTCCTGGGATCAGCCCAACAGGAAAATTAAGAGCAACTCAGTTCATTCCTGAGTCAACATCTTGCCCGGCCTATGGGTAGCTTTCTGATTCTTCTGAATTTGTGACTGTGAATGCCTTACTATCCCCAAAACCACACCCCAGTTCTACTCAGGGTTTTACTTATACATGGTTTAGTCTATGTCTTCACCCTTACTCCTTTGTCCCTGGCCCCATATGTAAATATACCTATAATACATAGCCTTTCCTGCAGGGGACTTCCTTGTAACTCAGACAGTAGAGAATCTGCCTGCACTGCAGGAGACCCTGGTTTGATCCCTGGGTCAGGAAGATCCTCTGGAGAAGAGAATGGCAACCCACTCTGGTATTCTTTCTTGGAGAATCCCATGGACAGAGGAGCCTGGCCAACTACAGTCCATGGGCTGGCAAAGAGTCAGAGATGACTTAGCAACTAGGCACAGCACACGTCAGTAAGGACTTTGCAAAAATGCCTGCCTTTAGTATCCTTTTCAGGGTTTCACCTTTCTCAGGTCTGTAAAGAAAAATAACTTGCTGTTAGGAAATATAAAAAGGAAAATTTCTTTTCATTTGATGTTTTGATTCTTTATTAAGGGATTATATTTTGAAACATGCTTATTAATATGAAACACTTTGAAAATGTATGATTTGTATATGTGTGGGTGTTAACACTGTAAGATAATTGTTTCAGTTGATGTTGAATCAAGATTGGGCTTCATAATCAGAAAAATGAAATGATTATTATGTGGAAGTTTCCATATAACATATGGTCAATAATTGTTAGCCCATCTCATCATTATATGATACATAAGGTTATACTGATAAAAAAAAAATCAAACAAGTTAACTGACTTCAATCTTCTATCTCCAAAGCTATTGGTTTAATCATGCTCCTCCTCCTACAATGTATCTGCTAACACTGGACAGTGCAGCTGGTGTGTTAACTTCCTGTTATTTATAACCTCTGAAGGCCGAAGAAAAAAATCAGAGTCTGCTGACTCAGAGGAGCAACAGGCAATGGATCCCAAAAGCCAGAAGGTGAAGCTTAATGATGGCCATTTCATTCCTGTCCTGGGATTTGGAACCTATGCACCTGAGGAGGTAAGAGTAGTGGTTTGGGGTTGAGATATAATATAAATAGTAGTGGATGTGACATGAGTGGAAAGGGACTTGGGTTGTCAAGCGCTGAGTTCCTGTGTGACCCTGGGAGGATCACATGGTTCCACTAATCAGGAGAGAAGATCCAGGCTCCACTCTGCATCAGGGTCTGAGGCTGTACTCACCTGCAGATTACTCTGGGTTCCCCTCCAGTTTCTGTCTCTTTCCCAGCTTGGCAGAAGAGGTGAGACTCGGCTGTCGAGAACACTGACTGTCAGCTACTTTGCTTTGAGAGAGATTGCAATGGCCAGGTTTCTCTATATATTTCATTAATTCCAGAACTCTTTCCTCTTTCCAAAAAGACATGACCCAGAGAAGTATTGAGGTAAAATTTCCTGAAGAGGAGGTGGCAGAAAACTAATGGGAAGAATTGCTTTTCTACTGCAGGGTGCATGCTCCATTTCAGGAAAGATACACTAGCTGTATTTAGCCTTGTACTTCTGTTCCTGTTGGAAACGTCTCCTAATGGAAGCTTTAGTATCATTTGAGGGGATAAGCTACTATCTTACATCCAATTTTGAGTTATTGGGATTTTCAGTGTCTTTTTATTATAGTCTGCAATACTCAGGCATAAGAGGTGCTAGTGAACACATCTCTAGACCTGACACCAGAAAGTTTGCTGTCCATCTTGTCTTTAGAGTATGTAGTTGTGACAAGGGACTGGTCCTGAAACTTTGAGTCTCACTTTTCTAATTTCTAAAACAGAAGACAATATTCAGAGACATTTTGCAGACAGAATACAGGGCTTGTTTACTTGTAGTGCAAAGTGTGATGAGGAGAGGGAAGGGCCCAGGTCATTACTGAAGCTCATTTGTTCATTCCTTAGTACATCCCACAAGGCAAATGATCTTAAGGAAAACCAGGACTGAGACCCAACAGAGGAAAGTTAGACCAAACACCTACCTCCTTGAAAATAAAAGATTCTGAATTATAGAAACATAAATACAATATTAGTCAGCCTTAAAAGGAAAGTTAATCTCACCATTTGCAACCACACAGATTAACCTGGAGAACATTAAATGAAATAAGCCAGGCATAGAGAACAAATATTTCCTGATCTTTTTATAGGTGGAATCTAAAATTTGACTCATAGAAGCATAGAGACATAGTGCTCAGAAACTGAGGACAAGGCTCTCAAGAATGGAAAGATGTTTGTCAAAGGTACAGACCTTCACTGATAAGATACATAAGGCTGGAGACCGGATATACAGCGTGGTGACTCTAGTTAATAATAATAGATTCTGTTCAAGATTTGCTAAGAGCGTAAATCTTAAATGTTCTCACCACACACAAAAGTAACGTATGTGGGGTTATGGATCTTCTGGTAGCTTAACTGTGGTAATCATTTGCAATGGGTAATTATATGAGAGCATCACTTTTTACAGCTTGAATAGATAGTTTTAGATGTATTCTGTGTGGCTGCACTCATAGACAGAGGTCTCAAAATCTTTCACCTGGTTTCTTGATGCTTTTGAAGTGAATTGAAGTGAAAGTCTCTCAGTTGTGTTCGACTCTTTGTGACCCTATGCACTGTACAGTCCATGGAATTCTCTAGGCCAGAATACTGGAGTGGGTAGCATTCCCCTTCTCCAGGAGATCTTACCAACCCAGGGATCGAACCCAGGTCTCCTGCATTGCAGGCAGATCTTTACCAGCTGAACCACAAGGGAAGCCCTTCGATGCTTTTACCATGCCCCCATACTTTAGTTGATTTTGCCCCAGACATCTCACAGTGTAAGTTGTATACATGACTACAACTTTATTTTGAGTCCTTAGGATTGTATCAGCAAATGACTGAACCTGGAGGTGGTCTTGGGTCCTCTGATGCCTGAGATCAACCACTGGTCACCTGGGGTTGAAGGGTTCCTGGGTGCCCATTTAAACACTGACCAGGAACATTCACAGAAACTGTCATGGGTTCATCACCACACACTTGCAGAATGAACCAAATGCATGAAGAAAAGTTGGTTCTTGGGATGATCAGTCTCGTGCCTTAGCAATCTCTTAATCATGTGGATATTCAACTTCTACCTTTGTTACTCATGTAGGTTCCTAAGAGTGAAGCTCTGGAGGCCACCAAATTTGCTATAGAGATTGGGTTCCGCCATGTAGACAGTGCTCATTTGTATCAAAATGATGAACAGGTTGGCCAGGCCATTCGAAGCAAGATTGCAGATGGCACTGTGAAGAGAGAAGACATATTCTACACTTCAAAGGTGCTGTGTGTCATGTGTGTGTGCACATATGTGCAGTGATTGTGTGAAGGTGACGGGTAATAGGATCAGTAGTGAGGTGAATGTTGTTTATTGATACAGCTTTTTTTGCACATATTTACATCTTAAATCTAGTATCCTCTTCTCTTCCCCCTCCTAAAAGAGAGAGTGAATATAACTATTTCATCATTGCTGTGTTCAAATTTTAATTTTAATTTAAAAATCACTTTACTTCTCTGAACCTACCAGAGCGGTGTGATTTAGTATGAGCTAATGAATCAAACAGAAAGAAGTATGATTAGATTATAGTTTCCTTATCATCTGGGAGACTTTCTCAATTTCTTCACATTCTGAATCTCAGACCTCAGCTCCATCAGTAAGAGAGCATTAGGGCTTCACTTTGTATATTACACAAGATTTAGCCAAAGTGTGTAGAATTATGTTCTGCACATGTTAATATTTTCAAAGCACTTTCCCCTAGGTTATGTAATACTAATTAATTCTGAGAAGATTGACTATTTGATCAAATTAGACTGTTTGTCTTCTGAATATCTTTCAAACATAATTCAGATGATGGGTTTGGTAATTATTTGATAAGGTTATTTATATCTTGATTCATTTCATTCTTTTGTGAATAGTGGAGTGATGATAAATTCAAATAATGAAGTTTACGTGGGTAGGTTAGACTTAAAATTGAACTCTAGAAGAAAGGGGGCAATTTTTTAGTGGTCATCCATTTCTAACCGATAAAAAATGTCTAATTATTAAGTGAAATGAGACAAACAAAATTAGCTACTGCACTCATTTCATGCAGCTTCCTTTGTTTAACCTCTGCAGATTTGGTGCACTTCCCTTCGACCGGAATTTGTCCGACCAGCCTTGGAAAAGTCACTGAAAAATCTTCAACTGGACTATGTTGATCTCTGTATTATTCATTCTCCAATGTCCCTGAAGGTTAGCAATCTGCTTTTGTATTCAATCATATTTTTTTTTCTTGCCTCAGAGTGCTTATTAACTTGGATGGATGGTTGACTTAAGATTTTCTTAGTAGGTTGAAGAGATTATTGCACTAGAGTAGAATCCCCCAAATAATCATTTCTGATCATCTTTTTCCTGAGCTTCCTTGAACATTTAATTCTGTTACATGCCTCCCAGGGAAAGGCATTCAATAATAATCTCATATGCTTTGCTCAAAAACTTGAGAAAATATAAATGGACATTTTTTAGCACACATCCCTGATTATGACTTCTGAATCTCTTGGGGATTTCATGAAGACAGTTTGGTACAGAGTGGTGAGCAATGACACTGCCTCACACTTGCAGTCTGAGTTGTTCCCCCTTTCACTCTTTCAAGGGGAGCAGATTTGGTGGTGCTCCCTCTGGGTGGGTCTAAACTTCCCAGCCTTTAGAGCGACTTGAGAGACATTGCCTACACTGTTGCCTGACTTCACGATGAGGATTATAGACTGTACTTAGCAATTAAAAACTGCAACAGGAATTTCCTGGCAGTCCAGTGGTTAGGATTCCATGCTTTCACTGCTGAGGCAAGTCAAGTTGAGGGAAGGAGTTCTGGGAACTAAGATCCGGCAGGCTGTATCCAAAAACAAAACAACAGGAACAACAAAATAAATGTATTATGTAGAACTCTTGATTTTAAGTTACAGAAATCTACTCAAGCCATCCTATGCAGAAGAGTCTATTTGACTATGTAGATGGCACATCCCAGCCATGGATGGATTTAAGGATTTGCAATACTCTTCAGTAATGTAACCCTTTTAAAAAAATCTGTTATCCTCTCATTACTCTTGCTTTGTTTTATTTTCACTGAACACTTTCCATTAGTGGCAAATATAGCCTTGGAGCAACTCAAGGTTCATACTCATGAAATTTGAGAGCATGTCTGGATCTTCTACATTCTGTATCCACCTAAACAGAGCCTTGCTGTTTCATGTGCCTGTCCTAGTGCATCAGATGCTCAGAGGGAAAAGGAAGTCTGATTATCTAGCCCAGGTCAAGTTTGCAATCTTTAATCTGGAAATAAAGCATTGTAATTTACTTCCATTCCCAGCGTGAGAGGCATTTTGCAAGAGCAAAGTATGAGGAGCAGAAAAAAATTTACATAAGTCACTGAGGGTCCCCATTACAATGTATGAAAATTATATTCATTAAAACATATATTAGGTGTAAGAGATTAGTGGGAGCCTGCCTCCTGAAGACATTTCTCATAACTCCATTTGCAAATCACTTTTCTAATATTGGTATCTAGAATATTGCTTTACTTATCTCATAGAGGTTTAGTGCCTGGTCTAGACATGCCCTGCAGCCTAGCTAAATGTGGAGACAATTTGGTAACAGCTCTGCAATGATTGCTTCTATTCCAGCCAGGAAATGAATTTGTTCCAAAAGATGAAAGTGGAAAACTGATATTTGACTCGGTGGATTTCTGTCACACATGGGAGGTGAGTCTGGGGAGAAGAAAGCCCAGATGAGGAGCTAGGTGGGGGGAAATTCTTTCATTTCTTCCACCTGTAAGAATGGGTTGTGGACCATCAGACTTAGCAGTTCAGGCACTTAAGGGCTGGGATGCTGGGGTTGTGGGGAGGAACCATTGCTGAAATGTTCACAGAGAAGAACAGTAGAGGAGAATATGGGACAGTGAAGACAGGCATCTCTTTCCTTCCTTGTGATATGTCTTCTCTGGGGTTTTTCTAATGAGGAGATGGTAATTCTTCTTGTGTCATGACCCTCTTCTCCTTTTTTCTTTCTTAAAATCAATGTTAATTCTTGACATGAGACACTTTTTACAGATTTTCCCCAACAATTATTCTTGATTTATTCACTCCAAGTGACTGTTCACCACCCCTCCCTCCCAGGCCCTGGAGAAGTGTAAGGATGCAGGGCTGACCAAGTCCATTGGGGTGTCCAACTTCAACCACAAGCAGTTGGAGAAGATCCTGAACAAGCCAGGGCTCAAGTACAAGCCTGTCTGCAACCAGGTGAGCAGCTCAGCTCCTCTCCCTCTTGCTCTTCAGAACCTCCTTCTTGCACTGAAGCGTGATGTCTGTCTGTCCTCCCCTCCTGTTCATCTGACCTTTGTGGACAGAAGATTCTACACAGCTGAGCCTCTGTCTGGATGGTGTGAATATAATCCATAACAGTATCTTTGATAAAATCTGGGTGGAACTTATGTGGAGGACTTCCCGCTAAGTTGTGGTAGTAATTGAGGGAAGGTAATGGAGGTGAGGGGAAGGGGGTTAGACTAGTCCTCCAGAACTTAGAGGAAGGAGGTCTTTCCCTGAGTTGAAAGGCTGATCACTAATCAGATGGGAAAGTGCCTCAGAGGGAACTGTGTATAGGATGGAAGACCATGAAAACACGGAATGAGAAGTAAATAACAAAGGGAAAAGTCAGCGGAGATAGGTGTTAAGTGTTTGTGTGGGGTCTATGTCCATAGGATGCCTGAAAACTTAGTCTTGGTGTGTCTACATTCATTGGTCTTCATCATGGAGCATAGTACAGAAAATTTTGCTGGAGATGATGAAGGTCTGTCAAGTCAGATGGATGAAGTTAAACGCTTAAGCTGATACTATCCATAGATATTCACTCAGGAACATTTACTTAGCTTAGAGTACATCTTATCATTTACTCAGTCTTGGACTGGTTCTCCCATCAATGTCCATCACAAAATAAACTGGTTAAGGACACCTTTTCTATGTCTGTTTCTGCACTCTTCCTTTTTTGGCTCTATTTTTACTTTATTGTAGTGACAAAACATGCGATCTAACCTCATAAAAAATGTTTGTATTCAGTACAATACAGTGTTGTTTACTATACAGACAGTGGTGTACATCAGATCTAGAATTTATTCATCCTGTATAATTGAGACTTCACACGCATGATTAACAAATCTGGATTCCTCCTTCCTCCTAACCCCTGGTGACCATCTCTCTAATGTTTAATTCTAAGTTTGACCTATCTACATATATAACTGAGACGTGATATATATGTCATGTAATCTTTATCCTGGTGAAACGGTCTTACTTCAAATGTACCATAATGTCTTTAATGTACAACTTGAAGTCAAGGATAAAGAATCTCCTATAGCAGAATTCTTTGCAAGCTGAGTGTAGCTTATAAAATTCAAGAAATATACATATATCAATTATATATATTTTTCAGTTTTAGAAATTAAAATATTAATGTGATTCTAACATCAATTTTGTCCATATTTTTTATTATGATAAATGTAAGATATTAGAAGAGTTAAGATTACAACAGGGAATATAAATATATTTAATTTTATGTATTTATTATGTATTGTATATTTAATAAATAAAGATCTATAACACTTTTTTGACTATATCTTATGTGGTTCCCATGTCACACTGAGCCACGTTTCTCAAGGTCTTTTCACCTAGAATGACCACCGAAGCATTCTGTTACCAAAATATCTAGACAAGCTTTTGACAGATACACTGTATTTCTCGTTGTTTTGTGACATTAATTAGTATGCATGTGCATGTGCTCAGTCATGTCTGGCTCTTTGCGACCCTGTGGACTGTAGCCTGCCAGGCTCCTCTGTCCACGGGATTCTCCAGACAAGAATACTGGAGTGGGTTGCCATGCCCTCCTCCAGGGGATCTTCCTGACCCAGGGATCAAACCTGCATCTCTCATGTTGGCAGGTGGGTTCTTTACAACTAGCACCACCTGGGAAGCCTCCACACTTATTCCTACAAGACAGGGTAAAACTTAACTCCTTGTCACTAATTGTCAGTTTCTGAGAAAGGATTTATTGTAATAATCATCAGCCCTGGAGGAAAATATTTTTGTTCTTTCCACCTCTCTCATCACTAAGGCTTCAGGGATTTTTATTTACTCTCTGTACTATACTTGTTTTCACTCATGATTCCTTCTGATGCTCAAGTCTACCCAAATGTCACCAGTTCTTTTGTCTTTAAGTCATTTGTCCATAAGTCTTTGTGCAATTTCTTGCTGTCTGGCACAGTTTGATGTCCACGATTCTGAGAGCTCTTCTCCTGTCCCAGATCTGGAATTAGGCATGTGTCCTGGTGGTGTCCAGCAACTGAGATCTGGTTCCTAGAGCTGCTTTTTCTCAAGAATGTCATTATTTTTCTTTTTATCTTTTCAGGAAACAGCAATAAAATTTCTTTTTTAAAAAATATCATGACTTCAGGTTGATGTTTTAAGTTGTAATTTGATGTGACACAGTTTTTTCTTTAGAGTTTTTTAAACTTTTAATCTTTGTAATATTAATATATTCTTTTCATATAAACTAACACTCATCTATCTTCCATTCTACAGGTGGAATGTCACCCTTACCTCAACCAGAGCAAACTGTTAGAGTTCTGCAAGTCACATGATATTGTCCTAGTTGCTTATGCTGCTCTGGGATCCCAACTATCATCAGAATGGTATGAACATCACTGAAGACAACAAAGAGATTCTCTAAAACTCAATTTTTGAAGAACTATCTTTATCACAATGTAACAGTGCTCTGGAGATAACTCTCATTTGGCAGGGGAAGAGAAGAGAGATGGGAGAAACCCTTCTCTTTTGTCTTCGCATCCATCACCCAGCCAATTTTTACATATCATGTATCTTGTTGTAAAATATTAAAATGCAAGTCTGCAAGAAATTGATATATAATTCCATAGTTGAGAACTAAGACATAAACTTAAGTCATGATTTACTTATTTATTAACCAATGAATACATTACTAATGAATAATAAACTTTTCAAGCTTCCCTTACCTTATGTCTAAAATCAGGATAATATTAAATACCTCCCAGGTATATGATGATCAAAAAATAACAAGTTGAATCATTTTAGTAAACATTTATTTGTAGGAGTATTGCATAATGCAAACAACAATGAAATGAATAGTTCTCATTTTTGGACAACTCAATTTTTATCAACACTTGAGAACAGCAAAAATTTAAAATTTTCCTGGTCTTCTCCATGTCATTTTCTTTTCATGCCCTTGTACTTACTTTAGAGCTGTGATTATAAGAGAAAAACAACTACTGAGAAGTAAAAACAGAAAAAAAATTCCACAAGATTGGCAATACTGGTTTCACAAGCATGCCTCAAATGCCTGGGAGAGCTTTGTAAACACAGACTGCCAGGTGCCACAGTTGAGTTCCTGATTCAGTTTGTCTGCAGTTAAGCCATGGAATTTGCATTTCTAGCAAGATCCCAGGTGCTGCTGATGCTGCTGGCTCAGGGACCACACTTTGAGAAGCATCGATCTAGAGTGAACATACTTAGTCTGTTTGAGAAGCCTCCTTAGAAACTGAGTACTTAGTCTCAGCTCCTCAGAATTTCTGAATTTCCTTCCAGGGTGAACTCAAACAATCCTGTTCTCTTGGAGGACCCAGTTCTCTCTGCCATTGCCAAAAAGCACAAGCAAACCCCAGCTCTGGTTGCCCTTCGCTACCAGATACAACGTGGGGTTGTGGTTCTGGCCAAGAGTTTCAACAAGAAGCATATCAAGGAGAACATGCAGGTGATGATGAGTGGGGCTGTGGGCAGAGGACTCCTAGGGAATATCCTTCACGAGGGTCATTCTTTGTCCATCTCTCAAGACTTTTCTTGAGTCAAGACAAGTTACCTATTCTTCTCAATGCATGAATGTGTTGTGAGGCAACAGGAGAAGTGGTATGGCTGGAGAGGGTTCAGGTTGGACATAAAACAGATTTTTGTTTCAGCATTACATCAACCATTTATTCTATCACCTTGTGCAAATGACATCTCATTTTCTTTGTTCTCAGTTGACAAAATTGCGTTATGTGATTTTTATAGATCGTTTAGGCTGCTCTAACCACATTGTGTGGCATAGAAACAATTGAACTTGGTAGTCTTGCAGTTCTAGAGGTGGAGATCCGAGATCAGGGTGCCCATGTGGTCAGATGAGGGTCCTCCTCCAGGTCACAGGCTTCTCCTTGCATCTTAACTTGGTGGAGGGGGCAACAGAGCTCTCCTAAGCCTCTTATATGAATATGATATTGTTTAAATCTCATTCATGAGGGCCCCACCATGGATGATAACCTAATTAATCACTCTTCAAGGGCCCATTTCTAACACCACCACAGTGGGGTGAGGTTTCCAACATGTAAATCTGGGGGACACACAAGTTACAGCAGTGATCTTGAACCTCTAAATTATCATGATTTTATTTTACATTTCCCTGAATAGTAATGTAGCTTCATTTTTATACATTTAATCTCCATGAGTTTTTGTTGTTGCAAATTTCCTATTCAAGGCTGTGCCCATTTTTGCGAATTGTCTTTTGATTTGTACGTAGGAGACCATTATCGTACTCTTAGCCATAGCTGTAAGGAAACTCTCCCCAGCTTCAGGATTTAATACAGAGATTAGTTATGCTTCTCCTGTTTCCATAGTTTGATGATCAGCCTGAACTCAGCCCAGCTGTTGTCCTCTTGGCTGGGTTCTCTCGTGAATTTGCAGTTCAGTGCAGAGCAGCTTGATAATTCTGCTTTAGCAGGTGGATGTGGCTCTTGTCACAGGAGCCTGCATGCCTTTCCATCTAGTTTTTCATATATGTTTGGCTAGACTGTGGTCAGCTAACCTAGTCTTCATCTCAGCACAGTGCTATGATTCGCAGTCAGTGAGTGGGGAAAAACCCTCTTCATATCTGGACTCAGAACTGACTCACTACTTCTGGGAAATATAACAGTCCAACAAAATATCACTGTCCAAGGCAGGTTACAGCTCAGGTCAAGTCAAGGGGAAGGGAAATTGTCCCCTGAAAAACTGTTTCCTTTAAAATTTGATTCTGTAATATGGCTGGAACTGATTTTCTAATAAGACATGAAAAGGGATATATATATATATATTTATGTATATTTAAATGGAAAACTAAAGGTCCATATTTTTCTACAGATTTTCGTTATCAACTCTGTAATATATCAAGTGTCCATAAGTACATTTCTGACCTCTTTTCTACTTGACTACTCAGTTTTCTGTACTTATTATAATGGAAAATAACTCTTGCTTTTCAGAATGGTATATTCTCCTTCCTTAAAGAGATCTTTGCTACTTTTCACTAGTTGTTCCTTGATATAAATTTAGTGTCACTTTCCCAACTCTCACAAAAGAATGCATGTTTAAATCTTAGGTTCATGGTGCATTGAAACACTAAAATGCTTTGGAGAAAACTGATTTCTTTTCAAAATTGAGATTTCCATGCTATGGTTATGAGATGAACTTCTAATTATTTAGGTGTGCCTTAATATTTTAAGCACATTTCACAACTTATCTCCTTAAAGGCTTTATGTAATCGTTTTTGGTTAGATTTACTCATAGATAATGAATAAGTTTGATATGAGATTATTGGGTAGGTTTTCAGAGGGAGGGATCCTCCTTACAAGCCTTATTAAGTTCAAAGTTATATCATATTTAGGGGGTATTGGGAAGAAGAAAAACAGTTTAATGCATGGTGAAATGCAGGTATTTTGTCTGAATTGTCCAACTGCCCCTCTTTTTGAAAGAAGATATGTGTTTTTTAATTTTCTTTCTCAAATAATTCACTTAGAAAGACAAGAGACTGATGCACTATAATCTGTTTAAAGTGGACAGAAAAGGAGAAGGTGTAGGAATGAGAGGTGAGAACTTAGCAGAGGGTCCCAGGCTCGTTCACCCGGAAGCTGATGACAGACATGGCTCCCCTGTCCCCTCTTGTCTCCATCCAGCTGGAAATTCTCCAGTCCCCAGGGGAAGGCCAGCTCTTTGGGGAAGAGGTTAATGTGATTCTTCCTTCCTTCCAGGTGTTTAACTTTGAACTGACTCCAGAAGATATGAAAGCAATCGATGGCCTCAATCGTAATATAAGATACTATGATTTTCAACAGTAAGTGACTTGTATATGTTACACACACACTGTTTTCTCTAGCATATACCTCAGCAGAGGAATAAGCTTTCTTAAAACTTAGTTTTAGGGAGGATGTCCTGATTTCCAGCATAGGAGTAAACCAGGGGCTTCCTGCAGACCTCAGACCAGAGGTTTCCTCCAGGGCTCCACTTATCACCAACAGAAATGTGATTGGGGCCCAGGACAACCCATAAGTAAGATCCCCAGATTTGACATTGTGGTGAATTCACAACGTTGTGCCTGTAATCCTGTGCCTGGTGTACCTCCTCTCAGGGCTGAGGGACCCAGTAGACACCGAGAGCACAGTGCCTGTAGCCCACTGTTCTTTCAGGCACCTACATGAATATTTCACCTTTAAATCATTGTAGAATCAGGAGGAAATGATAAATAAGGACTGTGTAATAAAGAATCCATCTTGGATTATGTTCATGTTTATCCTAACATATGTGTATGGTCAGTTGTGTCTGACTCCTTGTGGCCCAGGAACTGTAGCCCTCCAGGCTCCTCTGTCCATGGGATTTCCCAGCAAGAATACTGGAGTGGGTTGCCATTTTCTTATCTGGGGATGAGATCTTCCCAACTCGGGGATCAAACCCACATTTTCAGCATCTCCTGCATTGGCAAGTGGATTCTTTAACAGTGAGCCACCCAGGAGTCCACATGTTTATCCTAACACAATTGTAAATGTATTGCTGATGTTTTTTGGAGGAGGGACCCACGAAGGCCAACAAGCATTATTGCTGAGTAAGCCACAGTGGGCCTGCTTGCACCCCCTCCTCCTAGTGTCTGATGGTTTTTCTCCCTAATGGCATTTCTGGTACCAAGACACCATCCTTTTCATCCAAATCGATCCCTTTCCCCCCTGTTACAACACATTTCTTCATCCTTGTAATGTCACCAAATGAATTGCTAGTAGATCATGAGCTTAACTGACCCTCCAGAGAGTGATTGCTGTGTCCTTAGCAGGACACACCCTGGTAAGGTCGTCTAGGTCTCTAGTTTCTTGAGTCCAGACTGAATCTAGTGCTGCCTTTGTCCAACAGGGGTCCATCCCCTGGGGAGCCCCTAACTCCTTGATTTTGACTTAGTCACAAACCTAGGATTCCAGCTGCCTAATTACTGCAGGAGAATGTCAGGACTGAAGAGAAAGAGGGCTAATCAACCAGAGAGATATTGGAGAACATTTTAGAGAGAAGCAAATACAAATTAGTGATAAAATGAATATTTAATTTCAAATGAAAGATCTCAAAACTCTCCTTCTTGCTCTTAAAGAAGATATTTATATGTACATATGCATGTGTTTACAAGTATACCATGATTCTGAGAAAAAACATAATGATAAATGAAAGTTACTTTTCTGTTCTCAAAAACTTTTAAGTGTGTTCTGTGTTCTCCTTCATTATGGTGTGAGTGCCTAGACTTACTCATCCTTGTGGGTTTATGTCAACAGCACAACTTTTGGCACATGGAATTGCTCTGAATGCACTCTTTAATGAATTGAATTGAAAAGGACCATGTTAGAAAGATAAATCAGGCCATAAGTAAAGATAACAGCAGTAATACTAATGAATAAATAATGTGTTGTCATATAAAATAAGAAAATAGTAATCACAATTTATAGACATGATTATTTAGATGTATGTGGTATTTCTTCAGTTTAATAGTAATTCCTCAGTGGAGGCATCCTGTATTTTGGGTATGCTCAACATTTTTTCATTAAATGTTTACATGAAAAAGAGCAAGGTATTCCTTAACTGTGATTATTCTCATCACTTAGGGTTGAAGGTTCCACCTGTGTCTGAAATGACCTCCACAGTCAGCCCTAGGTCTTGTGCTCCCATATAAATTGTATGCAATTATATATCATATAAGTCACCATGGAGTACTTATTACATGTGAATGTTGGGACTGGACATGCAGGTGCAGTGTGCACATGAAGCAGACACCTGATGTGTGCTTGTTGGGGGAGAAGGAGGGAATGTTTTGTGATTTTGAGTTTGAGCCCATTCTGACTGCATCAACAGAGTAATGCGCTCTATGACAACAAGACAGATTTAATAAATCAATTCTCCTCCTCTTTCAGGGCTATTGATCACCCTGAGTATCCATTTTCTGAAGAATATTGACTGTGAGGTGTCCATCATGCCTTCTACCTGAACGTCTTGCTTCTAGAGCTGTGAAGAGCATTTCTATACTTGGTGGAGGTGTTTAAGTGTCTGAACTTTTGAAAGCTTGTTTTTCTTTAGAAATCTTTTACGAACTAATCAAGATTTCAAATATGGGTACTAGTTTTTCCTGATAACAAAATAATTTGAAAAATAAAGGGGAAAAGATAGAAAATAAAGATAACCTGATTAACCCATTTAATAAATTTGGTGCATTTTACTTTGTTGAAAATGAATCAATCTAAGAAAGAAATAGAACATTGTATTTGAGCCAAATTTGAGAACTATAACCCAGAAAACTCTGATAGCTGTTCTGTCTTCTAAAAGTCAAGGCACAGGGATGAAAGTTTGGGAGACAGAGGGCTCTACATGAAAATACATACTATTGACAGTGTATATAATACACATCTAAGTGTCATCATGTTGAGTCATGTGACCCCTTATAAGATCAAGAAGAAATTTATCTTTTAAGGAGCTATCTTATTGATGCTGGGAGAAATGTGACTCTCTATGGTTGAGCAGGTCCTCACATTGATGGAAGAGGTCCGGTATATGTATAATGCAGACCCACAACCCACAGTGAGGAGAGAGGGATGCAAAGGGTACAGAAGAATTTTTCATCTTTAAATTTCTGCCATAAAATATCAATTTTATTTCATACCTTCATGACTCCCCTATACAAACGTGTGTTTCTGTTTATAATTTGAAATTATCTTCAATATGCAGGTTGCATACTTATGTTTTACTTAGCATAAGTTTTTTGTAAGCTATCAAGTGTTATCTAATGGTTGCCAAGGATCAAGGGGTTCGGAGAGGGTTGGATTGGGAGGCTGGATTTAGCAGGTGCAAGCTATTGTATATGGAAGGGATTAACAAGAAAGTCCTACTGTATAGCACAGGGAACAATATTTATCTATGGTAAACCATAATGGAAAAGAATATGAAAAAGAATGTATATATGTGTATAACTGAGTCACTTTTGGGTACATCAGCAATTGAAACAACATTGTCATTCAAGTATACTTCAATAGAAAATAAACTAAAAAGTTACAGTATTATATTTAGCTTTTTATAATGCTTCTCAGGTGTCTCAGTGGTAAAGAATCCACCTGTCAGTGAAGGAGACACAGGTTTGATCTCTGGATAGGGAAGAGTCCCTGAAGAAGGAAATGGCAATTCAGTCCAGTATTTTTGCCTGGGAAATCCCAGGGACAGAAGACCATGACGGGCTACAGTCCGTGGGGTGGCAAAAAGTTGAACAGGATTTGATGACTGAGTATGCACACACATTATAAATCTTTTCAATTTATTTAATTTTTAAAAACTGTTAGTTCTTTAATTAAAACATTTTTATTGAGATATAGTCAGTTTACAATGTTGTGTTAATTTCTGCTGTACAGCAAAATGATTCAGATGTGTATATATATACACATATATATGTATATATATACATTCTTTTTTATGCTAAACACTTTGATTAGTTATTATATGTTTAGCCCTTCATTCATTGATTTATTCAGCACAAGTTTATTGAATATTTTTAGTAAGACTTTTATCAATAAAATGGACGACAAATTAAAATGAATTCTTGAGTCGATAGTCTAGAGGAGGGTGAGACTATGAATGAAATCAGGAGTATTTAGCTGTTAGAAATTAGTAAGTGCCTGTTGAGATAATTCTACTCACTCTCTCACTTTTCTGTACATCTATCAGGAAGAGGCACTAACAACCTTTCATCCTACACAACTTTTCATCTGTACAACAAATAGCCTTACCCTGCAGAGACATATAGGGCGTGTTTGCTACCATGTAATGTAAAGAAAACACCTCCCTCCTGAGAAAAAGAGGAATGCTGAGTGCCTACAGTCATTGATCCAGGATCCATAGACTCAAGGTTTTTCTCCTGTCACTCAACTCACTGAGTATTCAAGTATCACTTGAGACGTTCACTTCAACATTATAAATGGGGACCCAGGAACTAGCACAACACACCATATATATGCACACCTAATTATCACATTAGAAAACCTCAGTTCAGTTCAGTCACTCAGTCGTGTCCAACTCTTTGCGACCCCATGGACTGCAGCATGCCAGGCTTCCCTGTCCATCACCAACTCCCGGAGCCTGCTCAAACTTACATCCGTCGAGTCGGTGATGCCATCCAACCATCTCATCCTCTGTCATCCTCCTCTCTTCCTGCCTTCAATCTTTCCCAGCATCAGTGTCTTTTCCAAGGAGTCAGTTCTTTGCATCAGGTGGCCAAAGTTTGGAACTTCACCTTCAGTGTCAGTCCTTCCAATGAATATTCAGGACTGATTTCCTTTAGGATTGACTAGTTTCATCTCCTGGCAGTTCAAGGGGCTCTCAAGAGTCTTCTCCAACACTGGAGTTCAAAAGCATCAGTCCTTCGGCTCTCAGCCTTCTTTATGGTCCAACTCTCACATCCATACGTGACTACTGGAAAAACCATAGCTTTGACTAGATGGACCTTTGTTAGGGGTTGTAAACCCTAAGCCTATACAATGTTATATATCAATTATGTCTCAACAAAGCTGGAAAATGACACTCCTATTTTGGCTACAGCATTTGTAGTGGGTCCATTTGTTGTAGGTGATAAAGTGTCCATCTTCTATAAGGATCCCTGAAACCAAGGCAAGGTGATTTGTAGACTTGCAGGTCAGTTTGAAATCTTAGATTCTTCATAACTCTTTACTGTGAAAGGAAGAAAAGAAAGCAGGGAGGAGAACAGGCCTTGCTGGGAGTTGAGGGGTTGGGCACTATTATAAGATGGTTAGAAAAGATTTCACTGAGCAAACATGAAGGCAAACAGTGAGCTTTGTGGACAAGTGGGACAAAGAACAGAAAACCTAAGACCAGAAAGAGTCTCCTGTCACACTTAAGAGACAGCAAGTCAGCTGCCTCTGGAGGTAATGCATTCCTGTTATGGAGGTAATGCATTTCTGTGGGGACTCGGCCAATTTTGAGATAAATGTTCTTGACTTGGGCTTTCTTTCATGCTCTGCTTCGGAACTCAAACAGCTGTCAAAGTTATCAATTTTCCGTTGACATTCCCCCTGCACTTTGCACCTAGCCAGGAGTTTCAGAACCTGAGGAAATTGCTGAGTCATCTTTGAGACCATTTCTGTAATGTACTCTAAGGATTTGATGATGGTACTGAGTGATATGAGTAATAAGTGAAGCAAAAGGGCATCGGCTTGCTTCTTCACTCATCCTGAGGCCACATTTGAGATAGCTTTTACTCTTCAGTCTGGACCCACTCCATGACACATTAGTGAGGGAAGTGGATTTTACTAAAAATTCCAGGGTTACTCATTTCATCAAGCATTGTAATTAAACCATCATAAATATTTTGGTTCTTTCCCCCCAAATTCCTCCCAGGACAACAGTGTCTGCTCTCCTTTCTACTCCTCCCTCGCTTTCCCATCCCTTGTCCCTTGCAGCTCCCAGCTTCTCCCCACCTTCCAAAGCAATGCCATTCTGCCCATTGGCCAGCACTTCCCCACTCACAAGCCTCTGTCAAGTTCAAGTGTAATCTAGTTTTGTTCGTACAGGACATGAAATACCCCACTCACACCACAAATGCCTCATTAAACAAGAGACTACTTTCTAGAGACAAATACCACTGGCTCTATCATTTTATTTTTCTAAAAAACATGGCAGTATGCTGTTTGATGAGCAGATATTTGCTTTTCTCTATATATGGGCAAGTCTCTTCTAGGGGTTGAGTGAGGACAAATAAAAGTCTAGGGTGTATGTTCTTCTGGTCAGAAGTTTTCATCTGGAGGGGGTCTACTTCCTGTAAAAACAATTTAGGAATGTGTGTCAGGCCTTTGTCTGTATCTATCAGGAAACTGTGAGTTCCCTGAATCTGTAGTGTGGGAGAATTATAGTCTAAATTGTTACTAGTTCCCTAGTCCTACAGTTATTCTTTGTTTCTACATCTTCACATTTCCCAATCGTTAACTCTTGAGGCAGCATTTTACTTCAAAGGACAAGGAAACAGAAGCTCGAACATGGTTTCAGAGCTAGTCCTGGATGATCAGGGCAACCCCTAATCTTGATTCTTTATCTAGAATACAGTATACTCTTCAGCTACCCTTTCTGAGAAAGATCAATTTCAAAACAGCCCAAATAAAATCAATTCCAAGAAAAACAAAGAACTCTATTTTATTCTTACTCATCTGAATTTGTAGGTGGAAATCATGAACACTACAGTGAGAAGTAACTTCTTCTAGTTACCAGATTGAAAACAATAGACGTACTTGCTTCAGGACATGAAGACTTTGTTCTCATTGAAGATGGATTGGATGAATACCCAGTATATGTACATGTTACCTGAGAACAGCTCCTTGAACGCTTGTTTGAGAATCTGAGCATTTCTTATACATTATTATCAATTCCTTCTATAATAATGATGTTTATTGATGTAACACTTTATTCCTGTTGTGATCTGATCACACTTATTCTGTGACTGTGACTGGTCTTCAGGTTCACTCAAACTCTGAGATCCGGTAAGTGTAAGAATACAAAGATGAAGACTAACAGGTCGTGGTTCTGAAATGTGGAGGGGAGGAAACAGAAGCAGGAACCCAGGGTTGTGATCAAAGCACCTGGGCCACTGTCATCTGGAGCTTACCATCATCCTGTCCACACAGTTACTTTAGTTTGAGATGCGCTGTGTAGAAAACTGAAGTCAAAGAGAAACAGAGGAGAAACAGAGGTGACCACTAGAGGGTGGGGAGAGAAATCATCAGAGTGCTTGGTGTGATGTTTGTGGAACAATGTGTTTCCATACCTGAGTGTCAAATCTTCATATAGAGGCTGTGACAATTTCTACCATGTCCAAGTCTGCCAATTGGGAGACAGTAGAACTAGTTCAAGGTTTAAAGCCAAGTGCTCTTAGAAAATGCTTTTAATTCAGTAGGGAAGAGAAATGGTAG